AGATAGATAGATAGATAGATAGATAGATAGATAGATAGATAGATAGATAGATAGATAGATAGATAGATAGATAGATAGATATAGAAAGAAAGAAAGAATAGAGAGAAATGAATGGGTGGGTGTATGGAAGGATAGATACAGATAGGCAGACAGACAGAGACAGAAAGATGGAAGAGAAAGATTGGATGGATGGATGGATGGATGGATGGATGGATGGATGGATGGATGGATGGATAACTGTAGATAGATGGATGGATGGATAGATAGATAGATAGATAGATAAAGAGAGAGATGGAATAGTGAGATGGATAGATACAGATAGACAGAAAGATGAAAGGAAGAAATGGGTGGATGGATGGATGGATGGATAGAAAGAAAGGAAGGAAGGAAGGAAGGAAGGAAGGAAGGAAGGAAGGAAGGAAGGAAAGAAGGATACTTTATTGGCCAATTGGACACCCACAAAGGAATTGCCTCTGGTGCAGAAGCTCTTAGTATACATATAAGCAACAGGTGATAGCCATAGTCATAAAAGACAATAAATAAGAGGAAGTCTTAACGTTCCCAAGTTTGGAGAAACCTGGTCTAACAGATGGCAGTCATTCATCTGAGGGAAAAGCTAATACGGTGATTGTCCTCCACAGGTGGAATGCAAAGCAGTGATGGTCTTCTTCCACTACTGTGTGATGTCCAACTATTTCTGGCTTTTCATTGAGGGGCTGTACCTCTTTACGTTACTTGTGGAAACCTTCTTTCCAGAGAGGAGATATTTCTACTGGTACACTATCATTGGCTGGGGTAAGTGCTTCTAGCAGAAGAGGACATGTGTAGCTCAAGGTTGAACTATGGGGGCCCTTGGTGCTCTCTGAGCTTGGTGGTTTTCTCACAGATATTTCTTGACCCAACTAGGGAACAAAAATGATTCTGGAAGGGAGAGGGGTTTGCAGAGTAGAGGAGGAGGAGGACTATGGGGTCCTTGGTGACCTCTGAGCTTGGTGGCGCAGTGGTTAAATGCAGCACTGCAGGCTACTGCTAGATCAGCAGGTCAGCGGTTCAAATCTCACCGG